TCAGGCTTCTTTTGCTTTAGCCAGTCCCAGGGATGGGCAGAGAAGCCGTTTAGTACTTCAGCTAACAGTCATTGATACCTGTCCTGTGGCGGGCACAGGGGCAGCAGACTCAGTGCCCAATGCAGAGACAAACCTACAAACAGACCACACGGCAACCTGACAATGGCTACAAGAGACCGGCCTCCGTGCACGTTTGGGGCGCAGTCCTGCGCCCTGGCACGCAGTGCTGGGACAGTAACCCCTGCAGGAGGTCAGGGGGTCAAGGAAAGCTTCATAAAGAAGGTAACACGTACCTCGAATTTGAAAGAAAGTCATAGTTTCCAAGTAGAGAGAAGGGGAAGGGCATCCCGGGCAGTGGAAAGATCATGTGCAATACCGAGGAGCCTGCTAGGGGACCCATGAGGCACTGGGCACGGCCAAACCATGGAAAGAGGCTGAGGGGGTAAGGAGGTGGGTGGAGAAGAGGCAGGCATTGAGTAGGCCCAGGTGATGCCAAGCTCAGGCATACGAGGACCAGGACTCCAGAGACCAGGATGGCGCCGGAGGGAGCCTGCCCGGCCGGCACACCTTTGCTCCTGAGTGGGACTCGTCCTCTGCAGGTGGTAGACTGTGCTGCAGGGGGCAGGAGGACGGTAACAGGATCATGTCCCCAGCAGGTCCGTGGCATGGAGCGCTGGAGCTGTGAAAAGTGCAGGGACAGAAGTGACCACCACCCCCTTGTGACTGAGAGCAAGTCCCTGCTCATGCCTCACTTTCGCTCCAGCCTCAGACAAGCACAAGGCACACATCAAAAGGGCAGACGTGAAGACTGGGGTGGAGGGAGGCAGACATTTCACCCAAGCCTGGGTGAGTTCACTGTGGATTTGACACAGGGACTCAGGGGGCCCACTATTCCGCACAGGGACCTGCCTCTGAACCAGAAAGTCCTCTCCCTTCTGGCCTTGCCGACAGTGAGGGTGAGAGATCTCATGGGCAAATGGGCAGGTGGTACCCCCTGCCCCCCTCCTCCCCAATGCCAGTTCTTATCAGACCGGTTTGAGGTAGTTCCCAGGCTCGTCCGGAGGGAGCCAAGAGCTTCCCAGTCAGGCTGAGCTCCTCCCTGTGCAGCCAGCCCATGGGGGAACCGCATGGGCTCTCTCCCCAGAGCCAGGCAGATGGGGGACCCTTCCAGAGCACTCTGCTGTCAGGCGGGTGTGCTGGGCAGTCAGATGGCAGCAATGACAACTTGTCTGTGGACATGGTCTCCGGAAGCTGAGCCAAGGAACAGGAGAAATTTGAAAACAGACTGAGGAAAAAAAAACAAGCCCATGAACTCAAGCCAGCACACTGTCTCAGGTGGGCTCGGCAGGCATGAGCAAAGGTCAGGCCATTGGACACCTGGGCAGTGTCACCCTGACATCAGGAACCACTTCACACAGAGCAGGAACCCTCCAGAGGGGCTTCCACGGTGCTCTTCCCCAATGGGGGTCTGCCAGTTACCTAAGGGTTTTCTCCAAGCCTCTAAGTGCCTCTGCCCACACCACAGATTCCTTTGGGGACAGAGAGTCGAGCAGAACACTTTCCCCAGATGAACTGGAATGCTTTTGCTATTCTAACAAGGAGAGCCAAGTAATGAAACATGCTTCCTCTTTTCCCTTTGGCTCCCAGGAGGCTCCTGGTCCGGGCTCATGCTTATTCACCACTATCCCACCAACGCTTAGGGCTCACACACTTGCCACCCTTCAACTTTTCTCAACCCTCACTTATAATTTTCTCTTGGTTTAATCTGGTCACACATGGCCTGTGTTGTATATCATCTCAACTCCTTGTTGGAAAGAGGTGGCAGGTAAATAAACAATGAAATTTCACGCAGAAGGGAGTTAAAGTGCAAAGTCTGGGTGGCATTGCGGTGCCATAGGAAGCGCCCTTTGGATCAAGCCAGGGTTCTTTCCTTCCTCCTCTGAAGCAGGGGGAGGTGGCGCTGTCCCCACCCCTAGGTCCTCTGCCCTCTCTCACCTCCTGGATCCAGCTCCCCTGGCAAACTCTCCTCAATGAGAAGGAAGAAACTGCTACTTTGGCACTTCGGCCTTCCTGCCTGTTTTCCTGGCAGTGTGGTGAGAAGGGGACCTTCTTTAGCTACTTTCTAAGTAGGGGAGGGGTTGAGGAGACCCATTTCAGGAATTCAACAATCAGATGTCAAACATTGGCACCTGAGTGTAGCTAACTTAGGCTCTCCTATCTCCCGAGCCCGCTGTTCCTGGAGCACCCAGGGTCTGGAGGCTTTAGGGAGATGCAGGGAAAGGAGAAGACCCCACCCCGAGACAAGCAATGAAGAACAGTGATTCAAAAGCATAGCTGGAGTCTCACAGGGCTGGGTCTGAATCCTTGCTCAGCTGCTCACTGGCTTTCAGACCCTGAGCAAGGTGCTTCGGGTCTCCGAGCCTCATTTTTCCCATCTGTGAAATGAGAAAAGAGCGATACCTGTCTCTCAATGTTGTGAAGAGGCCGAAAGAATGTGCTTACACAGTACACACCGAGTGTGGCATGCAGACAAGCTCAAAAATCCTCAGGGCTGATACTGGCATTAGTCCTGGTGCGTGGCGGGCCGGAGAGAATGCGAGTGAAGTCCAGGGTTCCTCGCTGGTGGCGACACGGCCCTGGGGGATGCCCCTGTCCCTGTGACTCCAGTCCCCCCAAAGGGCCTGCTGACTGCAGCTCAGCTCTCTGCCCTGGGGGGCCAGGCTGTCAGCGGGTCTCAAGGAGATTGCTTAATAAGCAATGCTTTCAGCCACCAACAAGGATAAAGACACCCCTGGAAAACTGGCCATTGCCCAAGCACAGTAAGTACGAAGCCAACTAAGAAACCCTGACATGTGCCCCAAACCCAGTCTGATGACCAACCCCCGACCCCACCAGCTCCCACCATCTCCCTCTGCCAGACTAGTCTCCTAGCCTTTTTCATGCTGGAGCTTCTCCTGCCTTGAATGGTCTCATTCACATCTCTCCTGCCCTTCCTCCAGTAAAATAAACAACCCCCTTCTATTCTAGGAGCTTCTGGGGAAGTCCCCCGTCTAGCACAGTGTTCTGCAGAGTGTGACCAGCAGCCACCTGCCCTGAATCACCATGAAACTTGCTAAAATGGAAATGCCTTCCCCGTGACCTGCTAGAACAGAAACTCCACGGAGGGATCCAAGAATCACTTTCTAAGAGGCTCCCCAGGTGCTCCTGAAACCCACACAAAGCACAGAAAGTCAACAATTTTGTTTTGAGTCCATGCTGGGTGCCAAGGTCCAATCAGGGCTAGACCTAGACAACTTATGAAATAACGCAACTTAAAGAACCTAAACGTCTGTGTGTCTCCAGGAGGAGTACCTGGCAAACCAGAATTCTAGGCTGGATTTCATACTAATAAGTTGTGTTGCCTTAGGCAAGTCACTTTCCCTCTCTAGGCCTCACTTTTCTCATCTGCAAATGGAAGGGCCAGGACTTGGGGGCCTTTGGGGACTCTAACAAGCTTGGAAATCCACCCGAGACAGGCTCCTTTGTGGGGCCACCGCGGTGGGGCAGGAGGCTGAGGAGCCGTTGTGGGTGAGCCCACACGTCCCATCACTGCCTAGGTAGACAGTCCAGAGTTGCCACTGACGTTGAGGGGCTCAGAGGCCTCAGGTCCGACGGGGCCCAAGCTCGGTATCCAAGTGGCCTGGCCTTATGGGGGACTGTGAGGAGCCAACACCAGTGTCTAGGCCATGGCAGTCAGGCCAGGGGCTGTCCGGAGCTGATCCCCGGAGAAGTGAGCACAGAGTGGGTCTGAATGTTAGGGCCCCACCCCAGTGGGCTGGCTCAGAATCAGGTTTTAGGGCCCACAGAAACATTGGAGAACAAATGGGAACATCCAGGCATGGGGGGCTGCAACTTGAAGCTCCCCAGCAGAATCACTCTATTGCACAGCTTTAGGGGGTGCTATCTTGCAAGACACAATGTGCATGGTGCCCCCTACCATGTGGAGCGACAGCCCGGGGTAGGCGCCCTCAGGCATCATGGCTCCTGAACTTAGGGAAGCAGGATGAGTTCTAGGCCCATTCACTACTTTGGCCAGCTGAAGGGCAGCCAGCAGTTGTGGGGAAGGTTTCTCCGCCCCTCCTGGTAGGTAACTGGAAGTCTGTGCGCAATCTGAGGATGGTATAATAGGTTGGGGTGGGGCAGCTGGAGCAGCAACAGGCTCAGCAGGAACTTCCCCAGATCCACAGTCTGCTCCCACTGATGACAGGCGGCCACGCTCGCTTTGCCCTCCGGGGCCAGCAGACTACCCAGCCCCTTCTCCTGTGTACACAAGAGCACTGCCAAGAGGAGGGGAGGGCCCAGAGAAGGTTCCAGGCAACTCAAAGGACTGGCCAACTGGGCCTAGGAGACTGGTATTGGGTTGAGAAAGAACTTGACGAACGATTGAAACCTGGAGGGTTGCTGTCCAGAGCACAGATTCCCAAAGCAAACTAGATTCCGTGCTGGGCGGCAGTGCAGGGTTTTCATTGTTGATTAACTTAACCCTGAAATAACCTGGGAGGGGACTGGCATGATTATCCCCCTTCACGCCCAAGGAGGCAAGACTTAGGAAGTTATGGAGCTAACAAGCGCCAGGGTGCGGATGAGGCTGCCAGAAGTGGCCCGGCTGTGGTGTGGTACCACGGGGTTCAACCACCGGAAGACTGAGAGCAGTGGGTAGCAGGAATAGGGGCGTGTAAAACACCAAGAGATTTTTCTATCTCATCCTCCAAAAGGGACAGTAGCTCCTTACTTTCCTGGACTCGGCCCTTCCCAAGGTTCACCCCTGAGAATCTCTGATTCCCCCAGAGCCCCAGATGGAAGCTGTTGTGTCCTCTCTTTTCGACTCTTGAGACACATTCCAGATTCAGAGAGGGACCAAATCCCAACCTGTGGGCTGAGCGAGCTTCCCCCCAACAAACGCCAAGGGTTCACTGGGTGACAGGCAGCTACTCACTTACAAGCTTTCAAATTCTCTTTATTAAAAATCTGTTTTTTTCTTTTGTAAAAACAAACACTTGCAGTCAGTTATACAGATCAGGAAAAGTGACAATTTATAGGACATTCAACAAATTCTATTACTTTACAAGTTTCAACTTAAATTAAGTAGTGTTTTTCTTTTTCTCAGAAACTCAAAAAACAAACTCTGGTCCAGTTCAAGTAAAATCTAACAGATCACAGCCTCAGACTGTCCAAGAAAAGGAAACCCGGATACTCACATCAACTTCAAATTTCCCAAATTATCTGGAAATACTGTTTGTATATACTTTATTTCAGGTGTTTACAATGAAAAGAAAATTACATAGACCTTTGGGTTTACTAACCCAGGGCACAAATGAACCTGTTGTTCAAGGTGGCAGCTGCTCTTGAACAATATTTTCGGGGAGACACTTTGAAATGGTTGACAAACACTGAAGAAAAGCTTTAAAAAATAAATCAGTATTTTCCTGGTGCCTTTAATACTGCAGTGTGTATGACACACGGAGGAATAAAAAGAGCAAATTGTAGAGTGGGTGAAGGACCATGCCAATGGAATTGTATAAAAATAAATAAAAATAAATATATATATATACACACACAGATATAGACTGTTGGATAATTTTTTAACTGAGGGTTCGGACCGAGTGCAGAGCGCGCCTCCCCGCCCTCCCAAGGGCTCGCTCCAGCTTTCCAACATGGAGAAGGTCAGTCTGTCAGTAAGGGAGCCATTACATTACTCAGGAATGAGGCTGTGGGAACAGCCATCCAGATTTCCATGGAAACGCTGCTGGGGGGATGTGCTGATGGGGTCAGCTTCCACTTTGCTGGGAGAAAACTGCCAGCCTCTTTGAAAATGCACAGTTCCAGCCTCTGACTGAGGTGGTAGGCTTTTTCCAGCAAGGTTTGGAAAGGAGGCCAGAGAGCTGGCCCTGGGCTTCCCTGTGGTGGGAAGGCGGACACGCAGGGCCAAAGGTTTTCCGAGAAATGGAGGAGGCTGGTTTCCAGAATGCCAGATTAAAAAAAAAAAAAACCAACAACAAAAAACGTGGAGGCAGCCAGGGGACCAGGTCTGGGCTGAGCCACCACCTTCAAACCCTGCTCTGAGACGTGAACCTTTCTGAAGCCCCCAAGTGGCCTGCTGCCAAGTTCAGGTTTCCTGCTTCCTCCAGCTTCTCCTCACCACACCTGTCCAGGCGGATCTGTTTCCTACGGTGTCTTAACTCTTTTCTTGCAGGTTCCCAACAGGTCTCTCCTTGTCAGTGACCATTTGCCCCAAGATTAACACATGATCATTTTATTTGTGTTCTACATTTCTTTCTTTCTTTTTTTTTTTTTTTGGTGCCTCGGTTTCTTCACTGATAAACAGCGTTGAACTCAAATCATCTCTCTACCCTTGTGCCTTTAGTGTGGAGGACAGAATATGCAGTATACTCTTATCTACCTTAAAAAGAAAAATGCAAAAGTAAAAGAAAACCAATCAATCTTTTCCTAGTTTACCTGCCAGCAGTCGGGAATAGAAACAGCAGGGACTATCTTCCAAAGATTGAGCCAGAAAAGCTGCTCCAAGTTGAGTATCTCAGCCGTGGCAACGGCACCAGGCTCCCCTCGGACCTCCCTGAGGTCTTCTCCAGGGTGCAGCCGGGCCTCATTCCCCCTCCACCTTTGTCCCAAAGCCTTCCAACGGAACATCGGACTAGAGCCCGGCAGCCTGCCTGGGGCCTGAAGGCACTGCCCTCTGGTATCAGATGCAGGATGGGAGTAAGGGCTTTGTTCTTCACAACATTTGAGTTGAAGCCTGCACACGGGGTCAACTCTCAGAGACCTCTGACCTTCTGCCAAATTGGAAAGCGCCTATCCACAAACACCAGCAATCCCCGGATGCTCTTCAGTCCCACGGCCTTCTTTCCGTAGCTCCTCCCCCCACTGACACCGCTTAAAACCATCCCACAGCCAGGCTGCTGGAGCCAGAGTGCAGGCACCACGGGTGAGTCAAGGACAGATGCCATCCCCTTGTTTTGGTGTCTCCCGTGGCAGGGAGGCCAACAATCGACCTAAGCGCATACGAACTGCTGTTTCAGCTGGAGGGAGAGGACGCTTCCATTTTCATTTTTCATTAAAGTGAATCTACACCAAATTCATTGTTCAGAACAGAACAAACCCTGGCATCTCCTGAAATCAAGTGGAGGAAAAAACGTTTCAGGGGAAACTGTCAAGAGCTTCCAAAAGGAAGGGCTCATTTCCTCCTCCACAAAATTCTCTGGTAGACGTGTGGAAGAACTGAGAGGGTATGAGAGTTATCGATTAAATCGGGGGCTTTTCAGAAAGGTGGTCCAGCAAGAGGGGCTCCCAGCTTCTGCCAAATGACTGTGAAGGGGCCCCTCTCCGGAGCCGCAGGACCCCACTCAGATCACCCGCCGCCCCCGCCCGGGATGCCCGGCAGAGAAACCATTCCAGGCTCACTGAAGCAGTTCTTGACCCTGGAGCTTCGGTGAAATTTTTTCCTTGGATGACTCAGCCTGGCCGGACCTGTCCTGTCCCGTCAAGAATTTGAACACTGTGAAAATCCCTGAGAAGTTGGATTTTATGAAAAGGAAATTACCCTTGGCACAGAAGGAGGGAGAGGGAGGAGGGGAAGGGAAGAAGAGAGAGAAGCAAATTAAAAGATTGTCTGAAGGACACAGGAGTCACAAGGAGAGAGTGGGTGACCTTCGGTGGGCTGGTCACTCCATGGCAGCGGCTCTGGGAAACACTTCAGGGGCATTTTCAGTCTCTGAGAACAAACCCAGGCAATGTGGCCTGCCCAGTTTTCTTTCCTCTCTGGCTTTAGTTCCCGTCCCGGGGGTCAGGAAGGCCCCACCTGGGCGGGCCCTCCCTCCCAGCTTCCACCAGCGCCGGTCAGAGCTTTTTCTTTTCAAACTGGGGCACGATTCCGCTGTCCTCAGGCCTCGGGCTGCCAGCCCCCTCCGTCTCCTTCAGGCCCTCCTCGGCCAGCTGGGACAAGTACTTCTGCGGGGGGAAGAGAGGGACAAAGGGGAAAAAAGGGGGTCAGTGGTGACCTAGCAGGACAGGAGGGGAGAGGAACAGAAGATATGGGCCTCAGCCTCCTCTCCTATCATTTTGCCTCTAGTGGGTGAGACCCCCTTGCCTGCCTCCCCAGATCCTTCAGGGGCTACAGGACCACGGTAAGCAAGGCACTTTCTCCCCCTTTACGTTCGGTTACAAGGAACGCACATCTCCTGGAGCAAACCTAGAGAGTACGGCTCCTACCACAGCAAACACTTCCATAGCCCTTACCCTGTGCACGCGCTGTTCTAACTGCTTTTCTTATCAGAACTCATTTAATCCTCACTCCAACTCTACTTGTTTTCCAGAAACAGCCCAGTATCCAGGCAGCACGTCCACGTGTGAAGGAAGAGAGAGGGGAGGGAAGCTGGAAGGGCAGGAGGAGAGAAATGCTGTCCTACAGAGATCAGGACAGACAAAACCGCAGCCTGACACCTGAGGCTCCTGACGTCAGGCAGGCCAGCAGGTGGAGTGTCCTGCAGGTCCTTCTACTGATTTCTGTTCTATTGCTGGGGCTGCCTCAAAGCACCACGACACCCACTGCGCAGACCAGCCCCCAGCCCAATGCCGGGCCATGCCTGGGATTCTGGATTCAGCGCAGTGAGACGGAACTTGAAAACGTCTGGGGCCCCAGCTGGGCCCTCGGAGTGCTGGGCAGCTGGAAGCAGTGCAAAGAGCACTGGACTAGGAGTCGGCAGGGTTAGGCCCAGCACAGCAGTCAAGCGTGTGGGCTCTTCTGTCAAACGACCTGGGTTCAAATCCTAGACCTCAGCAGGCAAGTCACCCAGTATCTCTGACATCCGTCAAGTGCAAGTGATAACGGAACTACCACATAAGGTTGCTGTGGCACCCAAGAGAGGTCCCATAAAACATCCAGCACAGCGCTGGCCCAGAGCAGACACTCGGTGATGCTGTCTTTCCTCATGCGCGGCACCTGCCATCTGATGTCAGGAATTCCTCATCTTCTCCCAGCCTCGGACCCTACTCTGTTAAATGGGAGCAGCAGCCTTCCTCCTCCCAGGGTGGCGCTGAGGGGCAGACGAGATGACATAGGCTGGGCCTGCCTGCCCTCTCTAGAGGCGGCGATGGGTGGCTATGAGAGGTAGGTGAGCCTGACGGCGGAGGGGCAGACCCTGGGGCAGGTACAGGTGTGCTCAGAACGGCAAGGGGGCGCGTGTGCTGCCGACGGGCGTGGTCCTCTCTGGATCTGGGGCCAAGCAGGTGTCTGGCTGTCCTATCTGGTGCCAACCCCAGCTGTTGTTCTGGGTCTCTCTGGTGGGCTCTTGCAGGGCTGTGAGCAGCAGATGCAGAGAGAGAACTCCTTCCACCCACTCCCTGCCTCTAAGAGCAATTCCCTACGCCCACTTCAAGGCTTCCTGGTGGGCTAAGGTTACAAGCTGCCTGACTTAGGTGTCAGCCAGCACCTGCTGCTTGGGTCTGAGTTCTTCACTTTTCACACGTATAACTTGGGGTAGGGCGGGTGGGCGAGACTGTAGACAAAGACATTCCGTCAAAGCCACTGACAGAAACCCTATCTGGGAAGCCTGCGTGGAGGGTTCCAGCTCCCGGACAGGTGCACAGGGAAACCTGAACTGTGGTTGGCAGGTGTAAGGGGCTTAGCCACCGTCTGGCCTGGACACGCCAGGGGACCACAGGAATGGCTCTGCCCTACGGTGCAGCCTGGCCCAAAGGCCCAAATCACCGTGTAGTCCACTGTCCTGGAAAAAACACAGGATTTAGAATTAGAGGCCCTGGCTCTCTTCCTGACTTCCTGGGTGACCTTGAGCTCTGCGGTCTAGCGGATAATCTTGGGTGAGATCATAGTTGCCTCCCATTGAGGTATCAGAACCTGCTGGAAAGAGTTTAAAAATTCAGATTCTCCAGCCTAGCCCTAGAGAGAATGAAGAAGCAGATGTCACATGAGGGTAGGAAGCTGGCCTTGTAAAAGAGGCCAGCTGGTATGAGGACCAAGGTCGGGGAAATCAGGAGCAGGTGGTCTTCAAGGCCCCGTCCAGCAATGCCATTCTATGGGTTTCATCTTGCTGCAGTGCGGGACCATGATGTCTTCTGGGTAGATGGCTGCCGTCTGCTGGCTCCGTGGAGCCCAGTCTAAACCCCGGCCCTGGCCAAGTCAGGCCTCACTGTCCTCCCCCGGAAGGAGCTGGGACTTGGGCCTCCAACCCCATGGCTTCCTCAGTCACAGAGCAGCTGCTCTCTGGAGGGGAACCAAGAGGCTTCAATGACCTGAGTTTGGATATGGCCAATGACAGTCCCTTGAGTGGGTCTCAGTTTGCACGACCAGCTGAATAGGGTAAAAAGAGGAAAGTGATTAAGAATCAGGATCTGTTTCCAGGCCTGGTGACTCACTATCTGCGTGGTGGTGGACAAATCGCATAGCTTCTCTGGGTCTCAATTATAAAACAAGAGGACTGGCCCACCTCTGAGTTTTTTATCAAGGGGTACACTTCAAATAGTTTGGGGAACTTTCTCAAATTACATATTCCTGGGTCCCCCAAATTCTACTGGCTATCGGAGCTAGCATGCATATTTTTGGAAACACCATTCAGATGATTCTGGTTCACATCTCCGGGTAAGAGCCAGATCAGCCCTTCTTTAACAATTTAGCTGGGACAGAATGCTGGCCCTGGAACTAGGACACGCTGCCCCTCTGAGGGTCTTCCTGGGTTGAGGCCTTGTGTGTCAAGAAATTAATCTGATTCCTCAATAAAAACAGAAGGCGCTTGAGATACTTTTTCTGAGCCTCTGATATACCATGCTTTCATTAAGACACTAAACCCTGCCTATACCAGATATTAATTATGAAAAACACTTTCTAATGTGTTACATATCAGGTATATATTATAGAGCATATTACTGTATTTCATTGTTTTGAAGATGCTTTTTTTCATATATTAACGTCTCTGAAATTGGGATGCATTTTACAGTTGATGGAGTCTCACTATTTCATTTTCAACATTTTTTTCCTGTTGGTATCAAAAAACAGTGTGTTTTACAACTGATGGCACCCTATGGTTATACAGAGTATTTTTCTATGTCACCTGTTAATATCCTATAGAACTTATTTTATTTCTTGCTTATTCCCTACACTGAATTGGCAATTCCATGAGAACAGCGTTTTGTCTGCACATTTTGTTTTTGTTGCTGTACCTCAGTGCCTAGAACAGTGTCTGGTACATAGTATGCCTGTAACAAATAGTTGCACTATGGATAAACATTTAAAAAAATAGAGTACAACAGTGGCTTTTATTCCAGCAAACAGGGACACTGCACAGGGGAACGGAAACACAGAGAAAGATCTGCATCCTGAACTCCCAGGTGTTGTGAAAGGGGTCAGCCCCGACCATGGGCCAAGTGAACATGAACTCAAGTTACTCAGTGTAGAGAGAGAGGCAGATACAAAAACTTGACCCAGTAGAGTGTTTTAAGTACCACAGTGGAGACAGAGGCTCTGAGAGCACCTGGGAGGCAGCCACCATGTGGAGCAGCTTGGAGGAGGCAGATTTCCACATGGTGGAAGGTGAGAGAAAAGAAACAAGAGGCCAGAGAGCCCCCAGAGTGAGACAGGACAGGGAAGGCCAAGGGTTACCTGTAAGTTCCTGTAGTGGATAGCACTGCGACAGTGGCTTATCTTCGCCATCTCCTCACTGGTATAGAACAGCCCGCAGAGCTTGCAGTAAAACCCAGTCCTGGGCACCACGAACTCCACCCCTGCAGAAGGATGGGGGATGGACAGGGAGGCCGTTAGGAGGGCGCTGGGGGGGCCCTTGTGGTCCTGCAGCCTTCAGGGGGAAATGGGGACAGTGAGCTCCACCCCTCACTGGCTGTTGACTTTGGTAACCTCGCTTCTCCAAGCCTCAGTTTCCTCCTTTGCAAAATAGGCACAAAGAGGCTAGCACCCACTTCATTCGCAGGTGGCTCTGCTCAGCGAGGACGTGCTCTGCAACTGCCTCTGGGAACTAGGTCCAGGACTCCTGAGGACTAGCCAGTTTCTGGAGAAAGGAGGTGGAAGGAGGTTTCCTACAGTTCACTTGCTGGATGTCGTTTCTTTGCAGCAGCTGCAGCCAGGACTCCGGGAGAATGCTCTCATTTTTGTTTATTTTAGAATTATACTCATCAAAGAAAAAACTTTAAGTAAACAAAAGTGAGGAAAAATCACACAGAATCATTCCAATTAAACATCTCCTTCTGCACTATCTATAGGTAAAGCCTTTGTGTGGGGGCCGGGGGAAGAGATTTAATTATACCCTAAGTGCCACGTGTCTCCTCCCTTTTTCCTGTTACAGTGTATCGTAAACATTTCCCCACCTTTTTCCAGTCTTTACATCTGAACCACCAACTAATCGAATTTTAGTTGTCATTTGTTAATGTAAGTCCCAGGATTCTGGGAGGACTTTCGATTCTAAGGAAAGAAAATCGTGGCCCAACAGCCTGAGAAGTGACAGTGTCACAGCCCAGACAATTTGTCTTTGAAGGGATGGTGACTGTTTCAGCCTCCACCAAGGTATTTCAGGGGTCGTAGTTTTCCTCTTGAAGACACTGTCAGCAGAAAGAGTCCAAGTCTGAGAGGGTGCAGACCGGATGCTAAGAACCCACGTGACCTGGGGAGAATCCATGGAACCCCCTTCCGGGCCTCAGTTTCTTCAGGCACCTGATTGTCCAGAGCCAGCAAAAGAGCAGGATGTGAAGCTGTGAAAAGCAGGAGCCACCACAGAACTAAAGGAGAGGGGCTGGCAGATTTCAGATCTGCTCCCAGCTGCAGCTACTCCCTGCATGTGCTGACCCTGGAGCGGAGCTCTGCCACTGCCATCTGGTTAGCCCCTTGCCCTCCTGGGGCTGGTGGGAGAGCCGGCCACACTGGGTGCGGGGGAGAGGGCAGCTGGGAGCAGCAGGCCAGGGAAACAGCTGTTTCTTGCAGAGAAGGAAACAGACCAGGCTGCTATCAAGGTGCCGCAGGGGACCCCGAGTCTGGGGCTTCCTTCACATTCCTCCTCCCACCTCCTGTGAGGCAGAGCTGAGTGCATAGGAGAAGCACAGACGTGTAATTACAACTTTCTTTTTTTTCCCATTTCAAAAAAGCCACTCTCCAGCGTGGAGGGGCAGGCCCGAGGGAGGAGGGCGCCTTGGAGGCCTGCCCACAGCCTGTCTTGACAGACTGCTCCTCCACGGTTCAGGGCCTGGGCCGCCTCCCCAGCCGGTTTTCTCTGGCTGCCACGTAGCACGCGGCTGTGCCCTCAGCCGTCCCCAGAAGTAAGGTGGCCTCACTCAGGCCCAGCTGCCTGGAGGGAGGCTGAGTGTCCCGCCCCTCCTCACCCGCACTGCAAAGGACGGCAAATGGCTCCGGCTTTGCCTGTGAGTGGGCAGTTCGTGCCTCTACCTCACAGGCGGGCCCTGGCTCCTGGTGCGGCAGCCAAAAGAGCGTTAAGCAGGGCCCGTTTTCTCCTCTGTTCCTACAGCAGCATAGTTCTGCCCCTTGTGGCTGCTCTACAGGAAGAAGAGGCTCCCACAAGACAAGACAAAGGCAAGTTAAGATAGCAGATGCAGCCTCGGGGAGCAGACATGGGCCTGTGATCGGAGCCTCCCGCCCCCCCCCCCCCCGGCCCTGTGCCAGCCCCTGCAAGACAGGCTGGTGCCAGGAAAGCAGCCCTGGGGTTTTTCCTGCCGGCCCTGGCTGCGGGCTTGCAGGAGTCTCCCCGTTTCCTAAGACTCCTTCCAGCCCTGTCCCGGTCCCCCCGAAGGGAGGCAGCTGGCTCAGAAACCACCACGGAGCACAAAGCAGGGCCTGAGATAGATTTCACTTCAACAAAAGCTTCCAATGGGGGAAAAAAAAAAAAGGCTTGGAAGCCAGAGGAAGGAAAACAAAATTTAGAGTCAGATGGACCTAGCTCTTTTACTTACACGGTGTGATCTTCAACCTTTCTGAGATGAGTTTCCTCATCTGTAAAATAGGAATAAATCATACCACAAATGGTGCTATGGGGAAGCGCCTCTCATTTTGCCTGGTGCTCAGAAAATACGAGTTTCAACACATGCATGAAACATTTCTCGACAGAGGCCAGCCGGCCACGCGTTTGCCTCCCTGCCCTCCGACCTTCCACCACGGCTGCCAGGAGGACCGGGCTTCACAGTTTGGCGGCAGCTCTCCTCCCCGCCCCCGCCCAGTGGCTGGTCAGAAGTACCAGGCAGTCAAAAGAGGGCACTGGGAGAGTCTGAGGGGAGGCTCCCCAAATGCCTGGTGACTCCCCTGTGTAACTGGGAGCGGTCACAGGCACTGCAGGGCCAACGCCACCTCAGGATGCCTCCAGAATGCCAGGGCCAAGGGAAGCGGCAGCATCAAGGCAAACCGCCACAGCCCTGACAAGTTCCGTAGCCACTCGGCTGTCCCATTTTTCAGCTTCTATTAAGTACAATAATTAAAGCTGCATTTGCCTTTTCTAATAATAGCTCCTGGCACGGGTAATTCTAACTCCGTCATCCCAGCAAAGCCTGGGATGGGTGGAGGGGGAGCTTGCATTGTGCAGGCAATGCCCTTCAGTTCTGGTTAAGAGCAGGCCTTGGCAGGCCCACACTGCCTGGAGTCACCCAGAGCCCCCGCCCCCGGCCCACCCCCAGTCCTGAGCAAGGGGCCTTCGCCTCCCATTCCTGTCCATGGTGAGCCCTGACCTTGGCATTCCTCATTCTGCCTCCCTGCTCTCTATGGGGACAAAGCCAGAAAGTTGTCCCCCACATCGCGCAAAGTCTCTGCAATGGTGGCCGATCGTGCAGAGTGAAGGGTTAGGCAGCCCCAGTGACAGAAAACATAGTAGGTCTCAGTAACTACCTCATGAACAAATAACAACAAGAGAAAACCCTAAGTACCTCCTCCTGGAAGACACTAAAACCTTACAAGTATTCATTCATTTAATCCTCAAAATAACCCTACATGGCAGGCTTCTGTTACTATGCCTGATTTGTAGATGAAAAACGCCAAGCAGAGAGGTTAAATAAGCAGCTCTTTGCCCCCCAGCCAGCTGGGTCTGAACCAGGGAGTCAGATTCCACAGTCTGTGCTCTGAGCCACTGCACAGCATTGCCTTCCCTACATGGTGCTGCCTGAACTGGAGGAACGGCAGGGCAGAGTGGTCTCAGATTAGAAACCCTCGGTTCTGACCTGCACTCGCCATGTGAGCTCAGGAAGTCTCTGCGCCTCCGTTCTCTCACCTGTCAAATGTGGAATATAGTACCATACTCCTCCCCACCCCCAGAGATCAATGCAATAGTGGGTTTCCAAGCTAATGGAAAATAATAATCAAGTACAAAACTACAATTTATAATAATACCAAACCAGAAACAACCCAAATGCCCACCAACGAAGAATGAATAAACCAAACATGGTATGTCCATATCCACAAAAAAAAAAAAGAAAAAAGGAAACCAATCATAGCCACACCATACAATACAGAAGAACCTCAAAATAATTATGCTGAATGAAAGAATCCAGGCAAAAAAAATTCGTATTCTCTGGTCCCTTTACATAAATTTCTGGAATGCAAACCAGTATTTAGTGACCAAAAGCAGCTCAGTGATTACCTAGGGACTGAGGTATGAGGAAGGAGAGATAAGAAAAGAGTACCAGAAAATTTCAGGGGTGATGAGTATGTTCAATATCTCAATTGTGGTGACGATCTCCCAGGTGAGTACATTTGTCAAAGCCTGTCTGACAGTATACTTTAAATACGTGTACTTCATTGCACATCAATTATACCTCAATAGAGCTGTTTCAAAGAACAGAATGAGACACGATTTCCCTCCTTACAGATTGGTCAAGATTAAAAACTGATAATACCCAGTGTAAGCCAGGATGTGGAGAATGAGAACTCTCACCCAAGGTAGCAGTTAAAACTGGTATAATCTTTCTGGACTGCAATTAAGTAGCAATTATGAAAATGGGAAATGCAAATACATATGACCCCACAACCCCCAGGCAAGGACGCTGTCCTACAGAAACAATGGCACACAAAGGTAACAGTGCGTTCAGGAGGCGTCAGAGCACAAGGGCAGCATGGGGCTAGAGTCAAGCTACTGGGGTTGAAATCCTGATTCCAGTCCTGGCTGATCTTCAGCTTTTGGTTGTTGTTGTTGTTGTTTTTTTAAATATATATATATATATATCTTATTTTATTTTTTATTTTTTATTTTAGAGAGAGGGGAAGGGAGGGAAAAAGAGAGGGTGAAAAACATTGATGTGATATCAATTGTTTTCCTTTGGTATGGGTCCCAAGGGACCGGACCTGCAACGCAGGCATGTGCCCCGACTGGGAATCGAACAGCGACCTTTGGGTTTGCAGGACAATACCCAACAATATGAGCCACACTGGGAGCTGATATTTAGCTTTGTCACCCTGCATTTCAGATTTCTGAATTGTAAGACAGGAATAAAAATATTACTGACCTCATAGGAGTTTTCAGAGACTTAAATGAGGTAATATCAATACATGCAAAACACCAGGAATGGTGCTTGCCTAGCACATGATAAAAATAAAAGCTTAGCTATTACAGCATTTTAATAATGGGGGAAAAAAAGACTAAAATGACCCTAAATGTTCACAAGTAGAAAAGTTAGGGTATACCTTTTAAGATGGAATATTTACAGTGGTTAAAAAGAAGGAATTTTCCATGTACTGACATGAAGAGATCTCTTAAGACTCAGCGTTAAATTTAAAAAGCAAACTGCTGAACATTATGTATGTAGTGTGACCCTATTTTTTGTGGAAGGGAAATTATTTGTGGGTATGACAGTGCCTTCCACTGGAGTTGGGGAGAGCCTGGGAGGAAGAGACACAACTTTCAATACTTTATATGGTTCTGATTTTTTAATTGTTACAGTAATCTTTCACATTTTTTGTAATGAAAAACAATAATAAAAAGAGACAAATTATAAGGCAGCAGAGCCCTGCCCAGACCGGTGTGGCTTAGCTGGTTGGGTGTCATCCTGCAAAGTGAAAGACTGCGGGTTGAATTCCCGGTCAGGGCACATGCCTGGGTCGCAGATTCGGCCTCCAGTTCGGGTGCGTGTGGGAGGCAACCGATCGATGTTTTGCTCTCTCATCAGCATTTCTCTCCTTCTCTTTCCCCCTCTCTAAAAATAAATATATAAAATCTTTAAAGAAATTATAAGGTAGCAGAATTTATTGTGTTTTTGCTTCTATGTCTGTGTCAATTAGAGTCCAAGTTTTTGAATGACAAGAGACTCGTGTTGCCCTTTTCGGTGTCCCCAGAGTGGCTAGCACAGGGCCACGCACCTGGAGTGCTGCTGACGGGCTGAATGCATGAAGAATGCAGAAACAAACTGTCTAGCACCTTTTTCCCGCGAAAGGCAGCTTTTGCAACTGATTCCTAGGGTTACAACACTCAGGGCCCTCACGCAGCCACCTTAGTTCATTCTAAGGTCAGCATTTATTTTTTCCGGCTTTTGTCCTGAGGCATGCTGGAGGCTATATAGTAACTTTATCCCTTAAAAACAAACAAACAAACAAACAAAAAGACATTTGCTTTCCAATCCGACTCTATGAAAATGGTAAGCTTGGAGAAACAATATGACATTTTTAAAAGGACACGAAAAATAAAAAAAGAACCTCGATGAAACGGATGAGCCTCCATGCTAACCAGCCCCCGCCTGACTGAGCAGACACGTGGTCACGGGCAATGGTCATCACATAACCTGCACTTCTCACACTTCCTTGTGGCACCTCCCCAAGCTCACTCCCTGAGCAGCTGCTACTACTACTTTCTCGCTGCTTTCCAACCTTTCAGAGTCAACGCAGACACTCAAAGATGATCTTGGCTGAAGCGGGAGTCACCGGGTTAGCAGCGGTGTCAGAAGCTCCCAGGGAACTTTCTGAAAGGACCTCCACTTGCCACCCTGAAACTCCAGTTAACTCTCCTTTCTGACAATGGGTCCCAGGTGCCCCTCCCTGACCCATTCCAACACTTCCACCATTGAAAACCCACCGATCTGGTCCAATTCCACATCTTAGGTGAGGAAACTCAGGCCCGCGAACCCCCAAACCATTGCTGCGTGTGAGGGCTTACCATTCCTCTGCCTGGAGACTGACACATCACCCCCCCCTCCTCCCTCCTACTCCCCTGATCTCTGTTCTGCCTCTGGCTGGGTTGCCCTCCCCCGGCCACATGAACTCTGACCCTAACCCTAACATCCCACTTCAAGGCCTCCAAGAAAAGTATCTTTACATCTTTTTTCCTCTTTTTTCAGTCGATTTGTTACTAAAAAAACCTGAAGTGACTGGAAAAAAAATAAGCCCCAAACCAAAAATCATTCCTGGGCCTGACTTGCCTGAGGACAGGCAGTCACCCAGCAGGTGGAGAAAGGGCCCAGGTCCCTCTCAGCTCAGCGTTCTCACTGTCCATGGGATAGCCTGCATTGGGAACAGACCCTGCATAGCTTCACTGCCTCAGGGACGCTAATCGCCCAGAAGAGAGAAAGGTAGCACTGCTTCGGGAAGGGCTGGGGAAAGGAAGACAGGAGAGACAGAAGCAGAGACGGTTCATGTTGACGGACCCCGTGGCGGCCACGGGCCCTCTGCGTCCCTTGCCTGCACGAGGGCTGCGTGGTCAGGAACAGGGCACTCCCTGGCCGGGGAGCAGGCCCTCCGAACTCCAGCTCCCGGGGCAGTCAGTGCTCGTCAAGGCTTGGCCCAAGCGGTATCCGCTCTCCTATGGAGACTGAAACTGCAAGAGACTTGAAAGCAGCATCTTGCAAAAATGCAGGTTATTGCATCAGACACGAAAAACATCAACAAGGTGACGAACAGCCCTGCCAAGCTCTTAGACGTTATTAGGGAGCTATCATTTCTGGGATCTGACTTCTCAGGAAGGACTGTGTACTTCGCCTACCTAGAGGAATGCTAAGTTCACTGAACACATCCTCTGGTTCCCAGCAAGGCAAAGAAAGGGGCTGTTTCAGCTCCACTTCTGTGTATTCCGGTGACCTCACATCCAGAGACTTCACTTCCATGTACCTGGAGTTCTCTGCAAAACACAAGCCAAAGCAAAGCAGTAATGAACTACATGCCTCCCCGAATCCCTGAAATTCTACTCCTCGTGCTGTGTGATCAGGGCTGGTCCCTTGGACTGCTTAATTACATGCGGCCAGGGCAAGGACTGCTCATTAGAACCCAAGTGCTATAATTTAAGAGCTTATTCCATTGCCAAAAGAATGCCACACACACGGTAACTTGGCAAATCTCTGCATTGAGCCTGAGGGGGATGGGCTGCTGAGGCCTTGGGTGGGGACAATCCACGCCCACTCCCCCCAACTTTGTATCACTCCATCTCTGCAGAAGGAAGAATTACTGAAGGGCAAAAATTGTGCTGACGTGCCCAGCAGCACCGGGGCTGGCAGCTAAGACCGTGTCATTCTCTCACCCCAAGCTCGTAGAGCCGTGTTATTAAACATGAACTCCAAATACTGGGTAAGCTAACAAGCCATGAACGCCGGTGCATGTTGAGACTTATGCCATGAAAGAAAAGGGGTTCAATCAGAGCAAGGTGAACGTTTCACTCCTCCTTTAGTCTTGCCTGCTCTGGACACAGCCCAGGCCTCGGCGTTTCTCTAGCAACAAGAAGGCAGCTCGTGACAGTTTCCATGGAGACTCGGATCCAGGCAGGTGAAAAACAGCTCAGGTCAGCTTGACATGGAGGAGAGCCTGAGCTTCCAGCTCCCCTACCAGCTGGGTCCGAATGCTTATTTTGAAGTCTTTCCTCTACAGTTTCTGTGCCCGACTCCTGCCCCCCTACTTCAACCTCAGGAACGCTACAGGCTTTCTGTGAAAGGAATATCTGTTTTTTCCCACTGGGAGAACATGGAGGGTTACTCCTCCTTCCTGCCCCCAGAGCCCTTGATGGATCTTAGTTTCCACTTGGCAGAGAGGACAGGGCTTAGCCTATTTTAAACTCTGTTTTTCATGATGTCATAGTGCCAGGCACAGACACAGCATCACCTCCAACGGAGGCAGAGGAGGTCCTGGGACGAGTCTGGTTTCACCATCGGACCCTGAAGAAAAGTGGGTCTGAGGTGGAAAGAAGGGGGACAGGCTGCACCCCTTAGTAAGCCCCTCGTTCCTCCCTCTGCCCCTCCTTCCCGGGCCTCCCAGACTCCCGCTCCCGGGCCTCCCAGTAATAACAGCGTGGGTGGTCCTCTGCTGCACAGGCTTAGGGGCGGTTTGCTGTCCCCAGGAACTTTGGCTGATAACTCAAACCTTTTGCCAGTTTTAGTTGTCAGAGTCCATCTGGGCTCCCATAAATTCAGAGAAATCCGTCCTATCTGAGTTTGCTTCTCAGAAAACATGTGATCTCCTCTCTGATTTCCTTTGCACCATTTACTAAAAGCTCTAACAGTTCAACCAGGCTTTGAGAAGCTCGCTTTCTGCACCAGCTGGAATGCAGGCCGAAACCTTTCTTCCATTCGCTCTGGCCTGTACAAGCCCGCTCACTTCTCTAGGTGAGCAGCGGTCCCATCAACCCAACCACACAGGAGGAAAGGGAGGTAGTTACCCTGGGTCGACACTCCTTGGCAAGCCTGGCTTTGGAGGCCGGTTTCGGCGGGGGGGCTGGCTTTCTCTTCCACGGGGCTGCCTTCACAAGCCCCTTCCTCGGGAGTCCCCTTGGCCTTGCTGTCATCAAGAAATGGGCTAGGCTGCCGGGCCCTCTCCTCTGCTGGCTTGGGGGAAGACATTTGCTGGAGTGCAGGGGACAGACGAACATCTGAGCTCTCCGCTCCCTTTGCCTGCTTCTCGTGGCAATCTGAACCCTGCAGCGAGAGGCCTGTCTCGCATTCAGCTGGCTTCTGCTCAGCCTCCAGATTTAGGCCAGGCATTTCCACGTCCGTGTCACTGGGACAGCTCGTGGAAGCAGAAGGCACTTCTTTGGGAGACTTGAGGCTGATTTCCGTAGCCCCGTTACCTATGGTCTTGACCCCTTCCTTGGTGAAATCCTTGGCTAAGTCCAGGTGTAAGGCAGTTGTCACACAGGGACACATTTCTGGGCACAGTTTGTCCTTCTGGTCAATGGGCATGATCTCTTCCAGCTCTGGGAGGTCCGGTTCCATGATAAAATCTTCTTCCTCCCCTACCTCGTCCACTGTCACCAGCTCCTCCATGTTCGTGGGGTACCAGCTCTCGTCCTCTGCTTCACTTCCACTATCCCAATCTTGATCCTGAATAAAAATACAGAACGGAGGTCAGAGGGTGGCTGAGGAGCAGGTCTTAGTCTTCAACCAGAGGGCACAAGCCTTGACCCCAGGACCCCTTAAATCAGAATGATCCTGAGCCTTCTTACTTCTACCTGGGAACACTATTAGAAACTGTAAACTACTCAAGTCCCACATCACTGATTCACCCCCAGGATGAGGTTCAAAATAGCACATATTTGAAATAAGCCCTTAATGCTTAATCTACCATGTTTAATGTGGCACAGAGAATTTCAACCCGTGGTGCAGAGGTGCTCAGTAAGTAGTTTTTGAATGAACAAATAAATGATTAAGCTGTAAACTCTAAGAAGATCAATGCGTTGGAGCTATTCTCTTGCATGTAAAGCAGCACTAAACAGAACTGCAACGAAGTCCCCCATAAAATGCCCCCAAGCACCCTCTCCCAGCAAGGCTGCACCTTCCACAGCCTGGTGCATAGTAGGCCCTTCCTGAAACTTTTCCCTGGTGTCCCCAGCAGCCTACAGACCCAGCAGCCAGATTTAGGAGATCAGCTTCTCGGCCAGTGATACCCATCTCTCCGCCTCTCCTGACCCATAAGGCACGAAGCTGGCCACTTTCCAAGGACATTTCTTTGGGCTGCGGCAGCTCCAGCACTGTCACTGGGTTTTTCATTTTAATTATGTAAAATAATCTTTACGAGCACAGGAGATGTCTTGTTAATCCCAGGATCTGGGCCTGCTGAGGTCAGGGCTCCAGACCGAGTACCCAAAGCCCCCCCTTCCAGTCTCAGTCCCTCCCAAGGGACTGGCCTATTTTGAGAACCTGGCTCCGAAGGCCCAGTCCTTTTTGGGCACATGTTTTCTCTTGTGAGCACAGCCAACTTGCTGGAGAGTACGGCAGGGCTTGGGCATGTGGTCAAGATCTCCCCATGCGGACAACACAGAGGACCCAGGCAGAGCCATCCCTCCAGGAAGTGCTGCAGAGGCGGCTCCACTCACGGGGCCACTGGTGGGGTCTCGAACACATCCCACATGGCAAGCTCCCAGGCATCACTGGACGCGATGGGGAATCCTGCAACTTGGTCCCCAATGGCTTGTTGTGCAGCCAGGGCTACACTGTTGGCAACTGGGACAAATTTTACCTTCTTTGTTCTTGTGTTTTCTAGGTCAGAGGACTCTGTTTCTTTCTCCTGCCGGTCCGCTGATGGGGTGTTTTCTTCCATGCCCTCTCTTCCAGCCTTGCCAAAGGAAGAAGAGAACAAATCAAATCAGCGGTCAGCAGTGGCACAGAAAAAAGGAACGCCAAGGTGGTGGGCACAGCTAACAGTTTTCGGGTGTGTTGCACATACATTTCTTTTATCCTCACAAAACCTCTCAAAGGCAGGTGCTATTATCATCTTTGTTTTACAGATGAGGAAACTGAGGCTCAGAGAGCCTAAGTAGCTCATTCGAGGTCACAAGGTCACACAGACAAGTGCAGGCCTGGACATGTCTTGACGGCTGGACTGGTATCTTTAGGAGGCCAGAAGCCCCTGGCAAACGGGGGTTTCTTGGCAGCTGTGAAACCTGTACACAGTGAGGGTGAGTAGGGGGGTTCGGGGTGCACTGACCCTGGGGTTATGAACCATCATGGTGCCATCTCCCCATCAGATCTGTCTTGGCCATGAAAAGTCACATCCAGGCCACTTATGGGGAAGAAGGGGGTTGCCACCCATCCATGCCCCCTCACCTCTCTTGTGCCCCACCCCTGTCCCAGAACTATAGCCCCAAGGGCCACCTCTTCCCTCAAATGATGTCCCTTGTAATAATGCTCATGTCAGGGGGACTGAACAATTGAAAGCAAATGTCTGGTTTGAGAACGAGGGTCTCTCCGCAGACCTTAAAACAGGACTCAGCAAACTATAGTCCTTGAGCCAAATGTGACCCAATGCCTCTTTTTGTAGTCTGTGAACTAACAACGGTTTCACATTTTTAAACAGTTGCATGTTAAATGATTGTGTAAGCACCTACATAATATCCTCAATTTCGCTCCTTGGCCCGCACAGCCTAAAATATTTACTATCCGGTGTTTTGTAGAAAAAGTTTTGCAACCCCTGTTTCAGTTTTGGGAGGACATTCTCCCACGGTTTAACTTCTGGCCACCAAGTCAATGACTGTTCCTGGGGCTCTCAGGGGCCAGGTGCATTTTCTCTGCGTTTCTGGCTGAGGTTGGCTTAGGGTAACTGACTGTACTTCTGATTTCTTACGAGACACACCCCTGCTGAGTTGAGAGGAGCCAGCTGGGACAGGAGCTCAGGGCTGACTGGTTTAACCAGTTACTACTGGACAGGGGAAGACGGTTGAAAGCCTCAAGTCCCTGTTCTCTCCACTGTTGGGAGCGCGGTATTCCACGAGAATCCCTGCTTGAGTCCTCCGAGGTAACCTAAGGGCACGGCAGCTGCAAATGCCTTTTTAGCCATCAGAACCCACAGCTTCTCCCAACAGGGGACTGCTTCCCTTTATTTTTATCTCCCTGAATAAATTATCCATGGCCTCCCATTGCCAAAATAAATAACCCACATCGTGTCCACACAGTTACTGCAGCCACACTCCTCAACGAACACAGTAAAGGGAGCCTCTCCAGTTCAAGCTCGGGACGGAGGGCCAGGCTGGCCAGGCTGACGCCCCCACCAGGCAAACCCCTGCTCTTCCCCCTGCAGGCACAGGAAACAGAGCGGTGCCTTTCAGTGCGCCTGTGGCCCTGGGACCACCTGCAGGTGACAGCAGCAGCTTAAGGGAAACAGACAAATGCTACCAATGCACCCCACTGCCCGCACTCGCTCAGGGACCAGCTAGGTCCCGACTGCTGCACGCAGGGCTCTGTCACCCCAGGGCTATGGCCACCATAAGCCACCTCCTAACTGGTCTCCACCTTCTGCTCTGCAGCCTCCTCCCACGTCTGTGCTCCCCAAGGCAATCAAAAATGCTTACTCTACAATGCAAACACATCCCCACTGCACCTTCTAGCTTAAACATTTCATTTGCCTCCCCTTGCACGTAGGATAAACAAAAATCCTTAACCAGCCTCCAAGGCCTGGCATGATGTGGCCCCTGTTGAAAAATCGGCCTCGCCTGCCACCATTCTAACCCAGTGTCGCTCCAGCAACACTGGCCTCCAGCCACTGGGCCTTTGCACATGCTGTTCCCTCTGTCTGCTCCTCTTCCTTTTCACCCAGTAAATACCCACCATTCCTTCAAATCTCAACAGTCACATCCTAACCTAGGGAGGCCTCTGCATAGTGACAGGCACTGACAGCAAGGTATGCCTCCACGTCCTCCTTAGCACTCAACGCTCACACTCACTTGAGGAATTATTTGATTAGTATGTTGTTCCATCAGACCATGAGGTCCACAAGATCGGGGGTCTTTCCGCTTCACTCACAAGTGAGTCCTAGTGCTGGGTGCTCCGTGGATATTGGTCAATAAAAGAATGGAAATTGGTAGGAGAGGGTGGAATGAATAATAAGTTTGCACCTGCCCCCCAGTGTGCTTGAATCCGTGTCTGGGCTCTGAATTGAGAATAAGTGGTTTTCTATTTCTCCCTCCCAAAGATGGTTTACCCTGGCAGCGTGCTCTGGGGATCTCTGGGCTCCCTCTGTCCCATGACATGTTTTGGTCCATACAGTTTCTAAAAGGTGGGAAATTTCCACAGCTACCTGGACTTTGGTCTTCCTCCAAGAAGTGGGAGACCTGACAGCGCCGGGCATGCACCCCGGGGTAGCAGCACAGAGTGGAGGGGAGCCTGGCTGCTACCAACAGGGAGGCACCTCCTTCTCCGCTGCCATGGCCCCTTCTCTCCACCTGGCTCCACTCACATGACCTGGTCTGTGTCACCTGCCTGGCTTCTCTCCTCAAGGCATCTGGGTCTGTAACCCTTGACCTCTCCCTTCCAGTAGAGTGGAGGTGTGCTGCTTTCCCACGTTCTCCCAAGTCAGTGACTTCATTTCCTCCCTCCCTCCTATGATCTTGTGGTCAGGGCTGGCCCTTAGGCGTGGGCCTGGCCGCCCACAAACACTGAGCAGCCCCGACACCAGCTTCTCCAGCACAGGCCTTTCTCCAGAGATCCCAGAAGGTTTCTAACAAGCACGAGCTCATTAACGTCCTACAACAGCCTTGTGATCACACCCATTTCACAACCAAGAAAACCGAGGGAGAGCAGAACAGGGTGTGACCTGGTTCTCAGAAGCCAGGCCATTGCCTCCAGAGTCTGGGTTCAGTCATTTGTTTCTTCAGGAAGTATGTACTGAACGCCCATGCTAATCTAGGGACCAGGGACAGAGCAGTGAACACAGCAAACAAAAGTTCCAGTCCTCGTGGAGCACACACTAGGGGAGGTGGGAAGGGGGTGGACAGATATTAATAAAATAAATAAAGGCATTAGGGGATAGGTTAGAACGAGATAGGTGCTACCACGGGAAGGAAAGCTGGGAAGAAAGAGAAGTGTGTCACTGTGATGGTATGTGATGACCAGGATAAACCTGCAGAGAATGTGACAACGGGTAAAGACAGAGGAGGTGAGGGGGGGCCCCCATGGAGTTGAGGGTAGGGCTCCCAGGCAGGGCCCGACGGTGGGAGGTGCCCGGCATATTATAAGAAAGGCAAGGACGCCATCCTCAGCCCTGTTGCCTTCGTTCCCAAGTCCAGTCCTTCTGTTGGTTATCTGAGTCCTGGGCAGCCCTGTGGGAATCTGGGTTGTTCTAAGATCACAATATAGAGTCTGAGATCAGGAAGGAAAACTCTTTGTTCTGCTGTTATTCCACCAAAGAGTGGTCGACTCCCTGCCTTCAAACCCACAGAACCGATCTGTGGGGGACCCCAACTAGTCCCCACTGACCCCACTCTAAGGCTATGAAAGGCAGAACCAGTGAGAGGGATAGAACGGTGGGAAAACCCATGAAGCTTTCTGGGAATTGTTTTTGCATCAGGGGCTCTCCGAGAGACCTACAATGTGTGGCACCTTAAACGGGCAAGGGTGGTGCAAGCCCACAAAGCGCTGGTAAACAGCAGGAGAAACAAGGTTACCAAAGAAGAGTCTCAGGAGTGTGGGTAGGAGTGAGAAGGGGCAGCTCCACCCCTCTTCTGTGGGAACAGATGGTTCCAGACTCGCACTATGAGCCCTTGCTCTCTGCCCCCTGTGCTTTTTCTTGAGTCACTGACCTGTCACTAGCACTCGGGACACCACCAGCATATACAGTTGGCCCTCTGTGCCTACAGGTTCCTCATCTGCAGATTTAACCAACTTTGGATAGAAAGTCTCAAAACTAAAGTTACATTGTTGTTGACGTGTACTAGGTAGTTGCATCTTTATTGAACATGTAGACTTTCTTTTCTTGTCATTATTCCCTAAAGAATACAGCATTAACAACTGTTTACATAGCATTCACACTGTATTAGGTATTATATAAATAATCTAGAGATGACGTAAAGTATATGGAAGGCTATGTATAGGTTATATGAAAATACCACACCACCTTATATAAGGGATTTGAGCATCCTCAGATTTTAGTATCCCCAGGGGTTCCTGGAACCAATCCCTGGGGACACTGAGGGAGGCCTGAACACTCTTCTTAAAAACATCCATTCATTCATAAGTCCTCAGGATCCAGTCCAAGTCCTCAGTGAGGTACACAAGGTCCTTTACGCCCCACCCCCCACCCATCCCCTAGTCTCATCTCCTGACCTTCCTCCTGCTAGGCCAGTCAGGAGAAAATTGTGGCACACTTTGAGACGGGCAAAAAATCAATGGGTGTCCTTTCGATGGAATGCTGGGCAGTTTACCAGCACACCCTTCAGGGTATCTGGTTCCACAGGAGTCTGTACCTTAACTTGAACTGAGCTGTTTTACAACTCTGTAAATAGCAGATAACTGATAGTCGAGCAACTGATTCTTGTTGGGAGAGATGCAAAGGAATTTTATCTGGAGGAGCTGCAATTTTATCTGGTCCCAGGTTCCCTATGAGAGAGGTCTGTTTTGCCTCTGTTGGCAAATTCATGTCCATGTTCCTGATTGCCTCGACATGTTGCCTGATTTTTAGATTTTCCTTGGAACTGGCTTTTACATCTCAGGGTTCCCTCATTCATTAATGAGTTAAATAGCATCTTTGACATGCATCCATTTTATGTTTGCATGAAAGCCAAGATTTTACTTTTGAAAAACACGGTCCTTTCATACGCCCGAAAGACGCAGTCACGCCGAGCGTCTCTGCATTTTTCAAGCCAGCCTTTCTTTCTCACTTTCACCCCCGCCTCCTCCCAAACTGTTTTCCCCCCACTTCCAACGCTCAGCTCAAATGTCTCCTTCTCTGTGCTGCGTCGACTGCCCGCAGAGCAGCTCACCCACGGCTCCACTCCAGCATCGGTGCCCCTGGGTGTCAACTGTGTCTGTAGAGCTGCTTCTACGATGACACCTGGGCTCTGCCATAGCACGGACTGTGTCCTGTTCCCCTCTGGACCTCCCTAGGACACCACCTGGCATGTGTCTTGCTAAAATACTGGTCAAAAGTGTGACTCTTCAGTGTTCATGGGGCTGAGAATTGGGCTCATCAACTCCTGGGTCAGACTAGGAGATATGCCTGTAGGATTTTAAAAACTGGGTTCTCTGAGTAGACCCCCCAACCTCCATTATCTCACTCCTACTTAAACAACAGCGGTTCTGGCAAGAAGAAAGCGTAAGCCAGGTTAGAGCATAAACCTGGTACATCCGCAGAGGTTCCCTGGTGACCCCGTGAGGGCACCGAAGTCACACAACAGGTTATATAAGCCCTTCCAGATGCTTCAGTGACAAACGCCAGCCAACTGCCGCGCATTTTTATTACAGTGGAAGCAAAACACTGTGGACCGTACCTAGAGAAACACATCAAGCCCTGGGCACTTGGTATAATTTAGTGGGTGGTGGCTGCCTCTCCTTTACCGCCTCCCATCGAAGTCCCAGGATTGGTAGACGCTTTTGGCAGGAGAGAAGAAAGCAGACCAAAGATCTCATCTCCCTTGGCAGAGTTTGGAGGTACAAACACCTCGAGGCACTCCACCCTGGACAAACAGGAACACAGGAGACCTCTGCATCATGCCCCTCCCTAACTTCTAGCAAAGACGACAGTGTGCTATGGCATTTGGAGCCAGATCACCTGGATGTGGTTCCAGCTCTGCCATTTCCTGGCTGTGTGCCCCTGGGTAACTAACTTACGCTCTCTGTGCCTCTGCTTCCTCATCTATGGTAATAATTACACTAGTGATATTATTACCTCATAGGGTTGCTGTGAGGATTAAATGACTTGAATGAGAAAAAGTTAGTTTGACACAGTGCCTGGCATAGAGTGAATATTCAATAAACGTTTCATTCGCTCAATAAATGTTCATCATCATGTTAACATAATTACCCCTTGGGGCCTGCCTCTCCTCACCTGGGGAGGAGGTTACATCATTACCTCATTCTCTGCCATTCTGCTTTCTTTTCTCTCATCAGCTCCTTCTTGGTCTTTGTCAGGTCTCTTGGTTCGGTTTTTCTCACTCTGCTTAGACTTGGGGTTCTCAGGGGCCCTGGGGACCTTCGGCTCCAGCCCGTCTTCCTTGCCTGCATGGTCAAGGTGGGGGTATCTGCTTTCCCGCGGCCTGGCCTCGTCTTTCCTCTTGGACCTCGCCAGGGCACCCTGCTGCTGCTTTAGATACTTGTCCGATTTGCCTTTGGGCTCCTTCCGGTAGTAGCCATCTTCTCGGCTTTTGTAGCCTGCTGCAGAGTGGAGAGGACTGGGGGACCCGGACCTCGGGTGCTTTTCTCGGTGGCCCCTCGCTCCTTCGAGTCGCTCCTCTAACTCGACTTTGTCAGGTTGCCTCGGGTAGTGTTTGCGATCATGTGCCCACGTGTCTGTCTTGTCCCTCTTGTCCTCCCCGTTCTCCCTCCAGGGGGCCGGGTCTCTGTCGTCCTCCCTCCTGGTGTAGGGAGAATGCTCCCAGGAGTCCCGGCCATTGCCCCAGTCAACCCTTGAGGGACCCAGAGAACTGTGGGAAGAGCTGCAGGAGGTGAAGCTCGGTGTGTGGGATCTTGGGGACAGCGATCGGCTCACAGGACTGCGAGACCGTGGCCTTTCGGGGCCGTATCTGCGAAGAAGCAAAGGAGAGGAGTGGGTTTTAGAATCTGCACCTCTGCAGCCCCGTGCCCAGATGTCGCAGTCTCTCCACAGAAGCAGTGCCCGGAAGCCCATGTGGCCTGACACTCCTCACCAGCCCCGTCTTTTTTCCTCTCAGAGGGGAGCTCAGCTCTCCTGGGGGTGTGCAGGTGGGGGTATGCAGGTGGGGGTGTGGGCAAGGCTGCCTAGCCCTCAGGTTCAATGCGCCGGCCTCTTGGCTACAAGACTGAAGCGACACCCCCACTTCTGCCTTTATCAGCATAAAGGCGACCTCTTGGGCTCTGGTTTCCTTATTTCTCTTCTCAATTTGTTCAGATCTGGGCATGGAAGAGAGATGCTAATTGCGGGGGGGGGGGCGGGGGCTGGCATCGTGAGGAAGGAAAGGCGAGCTCAGAGACTCCAAAATCAAAGAACTAGGAAGGCATTTTGGGGTTGAAAGAGACCGCAGAGAACCAACCTGGTAGTTTTTCAGATGAAGAAATAAAACCCAGAAAAGGACCCCAAAGACCTGCCTAAGGTTCCCAGCAAGACCTGCCAGGTCGTCCCTCCCCCAACCTCCCCCACAGAACTACAGGAGGCACAGTATGGCTTTACACATTTTTTTTTTAAGATAAATAATCATGGTTTTAAAAAAATGAGACAAAGAAACAAAAATCCCAAAGCTAAACAGCTACATACAGAAACACACGCATACACACACCATGAAGGTTGTTCATTTATTTAGCAAGTAAACCAAGTCACATACCCGATATTCTAAAAGGATGGGCAATTTTCATTTGGTTCCCAAACCCAGGAAAACCATGCAGCCCTCACTGACCAGAGGACACGGAGATGCGGCTCCCTAGGACTGGGCGGCCTCCCTCGGACCAGGCGGCCCTTGACCATCACTGGGGAAACAGCCTGGGCTCAGCCCTCTGCAGTGATGTCGGAGCGCCACCTGTGGCAGCCCTGGTAAGAACCACAAGAGCCGCAGGCCAGGGGCCCACTCCTGCGGGCCTCCACCTTGGCTCTCCACAGGGACTGTGTTTGCAGGGCAGCGACAGTGGCAAACTGGTAGCCACAGCTTGGCATGGCCACAACTTCAGTTGGAAAACTGAGTGCATTCACTGTTCACAGTGACTGGTCAAGTCACTGCTTTTTGGGGGAGTATTTCCATTCCTGTTCCTACACCTACTTCAGGGGCTGTTCCTGAACTTAGCCGTGAAAAATCGAGAGCTGGCTCTAAATAGAATATGCACACACACACTTTCAGGCTGTTTTAGCAAAGTATAGACTTGCCCCTCAGAGCCAATTATCAACAGATCCCCTCTTACACTCCTTTGTAACAAAGAGGGAGCAGCTGAGAGGGAGGTTAGCACCTTGCATTTTCCTGAGGTTTAACCTGACTGGAGTATTGTGTTATGCTGAGCACACGGAAAGGTAGGGCCCAGAAAGCCTGATGGACAGGGTAGGGGCAAGGGCAGGGCAGGGCATGGCTCGCATACCCTTCAAAACGAGAACCAGGCGAATGTTCCAACTGCCCAGAGTATGCCCTGAGATCTGGGATGGGGGCCTCACCTGTCTGCTTCCCGGAACATGTCCCTCTCCCTCTGGGAATGAATGTCCTGGATGATGGCCGCCACGTTTTTCCCAGGTTTCTAGACAAAGTGAGAGAGGTCACCATCAGACCAGAGACAGCCTGGCAAGCACCAGAGGGAAGCAACTAGGACTTGAGTTCATTGTCCAGTCCACCAATGGGGAAAAAGTACCTTGTTAGGGGAAGAAAAAAGTTTAACCCAGGGGATGAGGAGCAAGAGCATAATGCTGAACGGTGGTGGGCTGAGTGGTCCAGGGGACAAGGCGTCCATTGAGCCGGGGAAAGAAGGAGCCTGGTGCTCATTGTGCATGTGCTGGGGAAAAGGAGCATTTGTTCACACCTGCCTGCCACCCCCTCCTGAATAAAAGAAAATATCTGAGATGTAAAAGGAAGAAAGGGAAAAGGGGAGGAAAGAGAGAGAGAAAGAGGAAGGAAGGAGGGCAGGCAGGCAATATAACTTGGAAAGAGACTGGAAGATCATTGAATGCAGCCTCTACATTTTACACATGTGAAAACTGAGACCCACAGGGACTGAGGCAGATTTCTGCCTTGCACAAGTTCAGGGTCACCAGCCACATGGTGTTCCATGCAGATGGTGACTCCTAGAGTTGTGTTGGGTTAAGGAACACACTCAAGGTCGTGGAAATCATTAGAGAATCAGGACTTAGCAATAGCATTTCAACTGCAAGATCCTTCCTATGACCAATGCAGCACCTTACTCTAGCGTGTTCCTCCATCGGGTTCATCTGGTGCTCAGGGTGAATCTGTGGGGTGGGTGGGCAGCACAGGCTGCGAGCCATGGTTCACAGTGGAGGATGCCAGGCACCCAACGTCCCCGCCCATTGCATAAGTCACTATTTGGTGGCTGCACCAGACCATAACCAACCCCAGCCCCCAAATCCCAACCAAGGCTCTTTCCTGAACCCAGAATGGAAAGTAACAAAACAATAAGAAATAAACGATTAAAAAATGAAATTCATGGGCACAAAAGAAAGGTGAGGGCATCTTCCAGAAGTCTACACAGAATCCATCCATTCCGTTAAAATGTATGGAGCAGAGTGAATTTTATGCTGTGTAATTACATCTCAATAAATTAAAAAAAAAACAAAAACAAAACAAAACAAAAACCTTTGTCTGTAATGTCAACTGTTGACGAAGAATTTTATTAAGAAATTTAATTCATGGCTGTTTGTGAAATCTCAAGAGCTATACGAATGTGAGATATCATCATGTATCTCATTTCACAGATGGGACAACCAGGGCCAGACACATGCAGTGAGCTACGTGATCAGCAGGACTAGAACTCTCTGCACCCTCTGAGCACACGGCTGCTTCTCTGTGTTAGCGCTGAGATGGAGGGTTGGGCTGGAAAAACACAAGTCAAGGAGAGAATGAAGGAGGAGCTAGTTGCCTGCGGTTTCTGGGAGAGAGGTCAGGGCTGGGACATAGGGAAGGGGTATAAAATGTGCAGCCAGGGAGGGATCTCTTGCTTGCTGGAAATACAAGAGGAAAGCATGACAAAGAGAAGGCAGTGATGCCTTCCCCTGAGGTCATGAAGGAGGCAGCCAAGAAGCCAGTATGGCACTGCTCAAGAAAAGGTCCAGGAACTTAGCACTGGTTAGGATATCCACCTGAAAAAAGGCCTCAAAGTTTTGGCAAATGGTCCCTTAGGTCCTATGATCATCTCTATAAAAGACTGACCCTCTATGAGCATATGAAACATGTCACCCACAGGTCTCCAGGCTGCCCAGGGCTTGTGCTGTCAGCTACCACCCCATCAGCTTAACCTGGACCACAAGCAGAGACATAAGGCCAAGCAAGGAAAGAAACTGAGGCTGTGGGTCAGGGCCAAGGAGAAAGCTAACTCCCAAGATGCCTCCTTCCACCTCACCTAAGACCACTTGTCCTTCCACCAGAGTTGTCTGTCACTACCTGGGGAGTAGAGCGAGAAGGTTCATCTGTAGGTAACCCTACTAACTGTGCCCTCCTGTTGCCTGCCCGCCTGAGGACACAAAATGGGAGCTGCCTACTGCGTCATCATGGGAAAGGCCAGGCTGGGATGGCTGGTCCCCAGAAGATCTGTGGCAGCAATGCCTCCACACAGGCCAGCACCTGAGCGAATGGTGCTTGGGAAAGCTGGCAAGGGCCATCGCAGCCAAGTGCAGGACATGTAAAGGATCTGCTGTCACCGGGGAGGCCACATCCTGGGTCCCAAATCCATGGTTCATAGTCCCAAGCTGGAGGAAGCAGCAAAGGCTAAAAATGTGCCCCTCGTGCTGGGTTAAAGGAACCACAGACACTTTTTAGAACATAAAAATTCCCTGAGGGGACTGGATGGGGGACTTAATGTAGCAAAAAGAGACTCCAAGGTCCCCAACATTTTTCTTCTGATCTTCTGCAACCTCAGATCTTTGTAACTGTTCCTTCCAGCCCAGGTGCAGGAAAGCCAGGGGTGAGAGAAGGCCTGTGCCCTTCGCCTCTGGGGTGCCACCTGTAGAAGGGCAGAGCCAGCCAACCAGGTGCCACAGATGAAAACGTCCTCCAGTGGCCCAAGCAGGCCCCCAGTGGTCAAAGAGGTACACTGAGAGTTCTTTGAGGGCTGGAAGAGCCTCTTCTTGGCTTAAATATTTCCCTGCCCTTATTTTCCCAACCACAGAACATCCTCCTGAGGCCACTTTCAGCCCAGGGCCCTCTGAGGTTACTCCTGTTCAGGTCCCACGTTCCCAGTAAGGCAGGGCATAGAGTGATCGGTCTCTACAGAGCTAGCCCAGCACAGACCCGCGCATGGGACAGGTGCTCCATGGTAACTATTCCAAGACAAATGGCTGGAGAAATGGCGGGATGGGGTTGCAGAGAAAGAACAGGACAATCTGCAAAGACTATATGCCAGGGCTGCCGGTCACGGGCATCGTGACCCACCCCCCATGGACCAGAGGTCAGTTGCTCTATTTTAGGTGATAATTCCATTGTTGACATTTGCTGGCCCACACATCTGAGAAGGGGACAGAAGTGGCGAAAGATTTTCAGATAACAGAATCAACTTCTCACAGCCATAAGCAAATCCTTAACTTTCCTCTTCAGGCCTGGCCTCATCTTCTTGTGGTTAAAGGTGTAAAGGGGGCAAGTAAAATAAAACTGTAATCACTGCAGAAAAGTGAAACTGGGAGAGAATAGAGCAGGTCTACTTTGGTGTTTTGGGTACTTTTTTTATTGCAGAACATTTCAAATATACAGAAAAGGAGAGAGAAGGGTATACTGAACCCTTACGAATCCATTTCCCTCATCAATGACTATGACCTATCTTGGTTCATCTATACTCTCACTCTCTTCCCTACCCCTCCCCACCCATGGAGCATTTTGAAGCAAATCCCTGACATAGTATGTTTTTTTGTCATCCATTCTGTGATGACACTGATGCAGCTCAACAACTCCACAGGGGACCATCCACAGTGCTCACAGTCAACACATCTTGCTGCACTTAAGACAAGGGTGAGACGCTAAGCCCCATGTGGTCCTCAGTAAGTGCTGGCACGCTCAGGGAGGTACCAAGGCTTGAGACTCTCCACCCAGGAAAGGCAGCCCCAGCTGGCCGGGTCACCTAGGGTCTTGCTGCCTATGAGAGACTCACCCACATCACCTATAAAGGTGAGATAATGAGGCCCATGTGGCATCCACCGAGAGCCTCAGGGCATGGCAGGCAGTGCTGACAGAAGCCACGGGTGCTGGGCCAACATGAAAGGAGCCGCTAGAGGGTTTCATGCCCTCTGACCCCTCCCCTGCTGTCTCACATGCCTCAACTGTCCTGGGAAGAGGCTGAAACCTTCCAGATGAGCCCTGAGCTCATCAGAGCCACGGCATCACTGCGTCTTCCAGGCTCTTCATCTCTTCCCACCTGATTCCTTCCCCCCGGAAGCCCCCTCTGTTTAGGTCCTTTGTCTCATTCTTCAAGGCCCTACTCAGTAATATCTCCCTTCTTCACACGACCAAGTCACACTGCCGTTTGTCACCAAACGTCCAGAAGCTTCTGTACTTAGGCACTCCTGTTTAAATCTTGTATAATTTTGCACAAGAGTAGCTTGTCTCTCCAGCTCGTCAGCAGACTCTCCCCTTGTGAAGACCATGCCCCCCAGTCACCGCAGCTGTCAGCGCTGCACCTTACATGGAGGGGGCCCTCGTCGTCATTCGCTCACTGCACCTTCCTGAGAGCATCACGGGCCACTCACAGGACTGCTGCCCAGGGTCGGAGGCCCCCTCTGTGGCTAGCGGGCTGGCAAGGCCAACGACTGAAACCCGGCCCTCTGCCCCCAAACTGTCTATGAGACTCGATCCCACCCTGAACCTACTGACGAGGAATCCCTGGCAAGAGGACATTAAAATCTGCCCCGACAACTCCCTAATGCAGTGGCTGGGAGGCGCCGGCTTAAATATTCCAAGTTCCCTTCCACACGTAAGATCCTGTCCTTCTGGGGAAGTCTACAGAATAATTCAATCTTCTTGTCCAGGTCTGTAGGAAGAAAGACACTCACTTTTTGTTGTTGCTAAAGATTTTCTCTGTCTCATTCATCCCATGTACTTGTTGGATGCCTGCCATGTGACAGGTTCTTCCCCAAATGCCCTGAGGATTAGAACCTCCACCACAAAGAGTGTTTAGGGAAACAGGATTATGGCATGAGGAAATATTCAAGATAGGAGAAGAAAACTACTTTAAGATCTCTTCTTTCTCCCCTTCCACTTTGCCGGCAAGCAAAAGGTAAAGTTGGAGGGAAAAGACCAATTAAAATGTCCCCCCCACCTCTGAGAGCCCTGGTGGGACCCCACGTGGTAGCTCCTTTGGCCCAGACACACGTATGGATATAGTGTTTGCTGTCTAACTCCCTAACAGCCATTTCCTTTTTTCCACCCCTGCTCCAAGGATCCAGCAGGTGACACAGACCTCGCCAGTAACTGCACAGCCACCCCGTGGCCATAGAGATTGGTTCAGGGAAGGACGCTTGTCCTAAGCTAGCGTAATGATCAGACTGACTCTCAGGACTTCTGTGGGAGCTACTAGGAAAAACTCTGGCTCGCTCTTGCTGAAGGAAATGGGAGGATGAGAAGCCAGAGCTGCTGAAGTCAATGAAGCCATCACGCCACCTAGAGGAGAGAGCCTGGGGCTGCCAGGGGCCATCCCAGGGAGACCCCAAAACAAAGCCAAGGGAGCAGAAAGCAGAGTGGAGAGAGGCTAAGCCCTAACACCATCACTTGGGCCTGGATTCCAGCCGTACCTACAGCCAGGGTTACGCCTGCACTTTTCACTCACATGAGCCAATACGTTCCTTTTTTTTTTGTTTGTTTGTTTTTTTGGTTTTTTTTACTTTAGGCAACACGCTTGCTTAATTGAGACGAATTTCTGTTTCTTGCAGAGAAAATCCTACTGCTATTAACTTAGGGAGCATAATGCATGCATTGCTATGTAGTTGAAACATGCTTTGAGATGCTTTCACACAGAGATAGTGTGAAAGCTTTGGGAGGGGGCAGAAAACCCTTACAAAAGGTCAGAAAACATGTTCCAGACCATTGCTGCTCCAAGTGTGCTCTGAGGACCAGCTGAATCAGAATCTCCAGGGGTATGTTAGAAATGCACAATCACAGCCTTGTCTCAGACCTACTGTATAGAAATTTTAACAAGATCCATGTTAAAATCTGAGAAGCTCTGTTAGAATACTACCTCTGCTGCTTACTGGCTGGGTGACTATAGCAAATTACCAAATACTCTCTGATTTTTCATGTGGACAATGGAAATCATGATAACACAATATAGAGATGCAGATACAGTGCAAAACCAAAACAGTCCTAAGTTTTAATCATACCTCTTCCAGTAACTAGGATCTTAGGCTGGTTACCAAATGTCTATGGCCTTCAGTTTCCTCATCTGTAAAACCGAGGTTAACAATATCTGTTTGCTAAAACTGATAGCAGAATTACAGGAGATACTGTATTTACGTAAAGCGCTTGGTACATTGCTTGACCCAGAGTACCAGGACTCAATCAAAGCTACATATGCTTGTTACTATTGTTGTACTGTTATAATCACTGTTATTATCTACCCTACACATCTCACAGGAGGGGCATTGTGATACTCAACGAGACAATGTATGAAAAAGGATCTTCATACCCAAAAAACTCAGGTGTAGTCCTTTACTGATCTGGAAACTGAGGCTCACAGAGGTGAGGCAACTTGTCCAAGCTCATCAAAGCAGGGCAGTGTAGAGCCTAGGGTGGCACTCCCACCCTCCAGTCCAGCATAGCTCAAGGGGTGTGGGTGGCACCATGTTTGCCTGTTCATCCTCCTACCAGACTGTGAGCTCCATGAGCTTCCTGCCTCCTTGTCCACGGTGCTGGTCCCCTTGCTGCCCACAGTGGGCCCAACATTTGCTGCACGCAAGTCTGGACCGTGTGACCTCTTTAACCCATGGCTTATTCAGCACTGCAAACTGCCTCCCCGGGTAAGGTACTGCAGCGCCTCAGTACGTTAATTTAAGAGGCTGAGTACTGTTATTAATCTTAATTAGAAATTACAGCAACACTTTATCTGGAGACAAAAACTCCACTGGGAACTCAGCACACAAATTCAACTTCAGCCCCCGGCGAGAATCCAGGAGAACAGGAACTCTGGCTGCATGGAGGATGGGGTGGGCTCTTTCTCTTGTCTGAGAAAAGTCACATGTTTTCATTAGTCAGAAAAAAAAATGCCAGGTTCTGCCAGAACTGTTGGCAAAGGAACTTCAGAAGCAAGAGTGCAAGCAAAGCAGAATCAGAGCTTTGGCAACTGGCTGACATATACCCGATCTACACATGCAGACTTGTCAGAATGCTAGTCCTGGCCAGAAACAGCCACTCGGCCCTTGTCTTCTGACTTCAACCGTGAAGGAAGATTGAGGACTGTGAGTTTTAAACAAAATGGACCCCAGGTAAATGACGAATGAGCAGAAGTGGCCTGGAAAATCCCTATTACATGGGACAGCAGAAAGCACAAAACAGGAAGGTAGATTTAAACACAAACACAGCATTAACGACAATAAATCCAAATGGGTTAAGTGTTCTAGTTAAATAGACTCCAGCAGACCATTAAGAAGAAATATCTAAAAGAAAAGCAGGGGCAAATGCCTTGAAAAACAACTTTGTGCCACAGAAGATCCAAATGGAATAGCCAATAATCATATAAAAGAGTGTTCAACTTCAATCAGTAATTGGGAAAATAATAAATAAAACCATGATAAACCATTACACTCTCCTCAGAAGGGCAAAAATTTAAAAATCAGATAAGACAAAATATCAGCAAGAATGTGGACCATATAAACTTGGGACAACTAATTTTGAAAAGAGCTTGCTATTATCTAGTAAATTTGAGGGTGTGCATGCCTGTGATTCAGCAGTTCTACTCCAAGTTATACGTTGGCATACATGCGTACGGGGCAACATGTTTGAGAATGTTCACAACAGCATTGCCCCTAATACCCAAAATCTCCATCAACATGGGAATGGACAAATAAATTCGTAGTCATACAATAGAAATTTATACCACAATGAAAACAGACACATCCGACATGAAAGTCATAATGTTGAATGAAAGAATACAGACAGTATGATTCTTTTCCTATAAAGTTCAAAAACAGACCAAACTAAACTACACTGTTAAGGAAGGCAGATACAGGTGGTAGAACTGTAAGAGGAAGGAAATGATTGTCTTCAAAGTCTCAGGAGTGTAGAGGGAAGGATTGAGTGTGAGGAGGGAGTCAGGGCGCCTTCTGGGCTCTTGGTGTCCCATTTCTTGACTTTGATGGTGGTTTTATGGGATTTACGGGATTTCATCCATTAGTGCTTTTTAGACAGTGTCATGCATAATTAGTCACTTTTCTGTATGCATGTTGTACTTCACAATAAAACAAAGAAAAGACCAATGTAGGACAAGCTAAAATAAAAACAAAAGCCCTGTTTGGAATGACCTGAATTCATCCCTGAGTTCTGACAGTGGCCAATTCAGCCATGTGCTGCTTCGGAGAATGTCAGTGAGGCCAAAGACATTACAGAGAATGGAGGGGAGAATGAGAGAACAAGGAGGGTGAGGGAGGAAAAAAGTCACTGAAGACCTGCATGGGTAGAGAAGGAGGTTACATTCAGGGTTTGTGCCTGGAACACCCACCTCTGAAAAGCAAGCACCTTTCCCTCCTTACTTTATCTTTCAAGACTTCCCCCGTGGGTCCCAGGTAGTCAGGCACCCTGTCTCAAGCATCCCTTTGCATTTTGTACTTATATCAATGAGCACATTTCTCGCCGTGTTCTAATGGTTTGCCTTCCCATGTGATATCCTCAAAGGCCATGGATAATTTTGGCTTATTTCCTGGCCTCTCCTTCCTGCCAGCACGTAGGACAGTGCCTGACCAGGAGGAGACCCTCAGTTAAGTGGGTCTCTCCATAATGATGAGTGAACAAGGAAATGCTTTACCTTCAGCTGCAACTCCTTGTATCTCTTAGACATCCGAATGAGCAACTTCTCTCCGTTGATCATAGCAGATTTTTCTTGGTAATACTGGACCATGGCCTGAGCAGCTTCTGTGTAAGCCATCTCCAAAAAGGCCTAGGAAAGAAAATTCCATACAAGGGATGACTCCACGTGGATGAAGTCCAAGAATAGGCAAAAACAAATCGATGGTGATAGAAATTGGAGTTCAGTGTCCCCCTGGGGTGGGGTTCGGTTTTGACTGGGAAGGGGGAATGAGAAACCTTTTGAGGTTCTGGAAATGTTCCATATCTTGACCTGTGTGGTAATTACATGGGTGCACACATGTAAAAAATTAATGGAGTTGTGCACTTACGACTAGTGCACTTTAGAGTATGTATTTCAAACCTCAATAAAAAGAAAGAAAAAAACAGCACAAGGAAGAGTTCTCTTTGATCCCATCTGTTCAAAGAGACCTATTTATTAACTCCACCAAAAGAGCTCATTATAAGATGGCCCCTCTCCTGATCCCCATGGTTACCAAACACTGTCCTTAATTATGTATGTCCATCCTGGGCTGCAGCATCCCGCAGGAGCCCCTCTGGGATGGGAGGGTTCATTAGCCAACAGTTGCACAGGGGAAAGGGTAGAACAGGGAAGAGTGGGTTTGTCGCACAAGTGATGTGGGGCCAATGTCTGCAAAATTTGCCCTTTAGTGGTGGTAATGGCAGAAGACAGAAGCACAAGCCCTGGGTATTTGAGCTCTCACTTTCTTTACTAAAGAAACATACTAAACTTACAAAGAAATGGTCTTTTCCATTTGATTGGTGTCTAGAGAGACTTTCTAAATAGACTGTTTTGACTGACCTGTCAGTTTACCCAGCACCTGTTGTGGTGGATTCAACATTGTTATTGTTTCTTGTATTTGTTTGGTTTGTACTGATCTGGTCCCTTGATGTGGAGAAGGAAAAGTGATCTGTGACAAGAGGGCCCTCACTGTGAGTACCTACTCTCCCATTTCCTCGAACAAAGTATCCTCCTTCCTTCCCTCACATTTGTTTTTGAATTTCAGATACGCTTTTCTGCACGCTGTCACGGTCTGTGGTATAATGTGGGAGACGAGAAGGCGAGATTATTTAGTTTTATTCAAATTCTGCCACCCAGCTTTCTAAGTGCCTCTTTGTTCATGGAAACATTTTAGTACCTCTAGCTCTCATCTGTCAAATGCGAATAATGCTACCGTATTTTGCTGTGTATAACGTGCACTTTTTTGCCCAAATTTTTGAGGGAAAAATAAGGATGAGCATTATACATAGGTATAAGGATTACATACCATGGGTATAATAATGGGCATAATAATCCTGTGTATAATGTGCATAAAACGTGGGTGCGCATTCTACACAGAAGCACATTATACATGGCAACATACAGTAATTCAGTGACTTTCACTGCAGTCATGCTGCAAACTAAATTTTGGACATTTGCCCAAAATAGAATTCTGAGAAGAAGGAACAAAGAAACAAAGTGAGCAACCTAAGCCCAGGTTGATGGAGGAAGACCACTGATGATTTGATGTGGCTTTGTCTCCAAAGTTTATGCTTTAATTAAGAAAATAATTTCTCTTATGCATGTTACTCTTATTCATAATGCAAAAATATTTGTTAATAATCAGACACAAATTATTCTTATTTCTGATCACTCTCTGTATAAACTCTCCCCCGCCCCCGACTTTAGAAATGAAGACAAACATACTAACTCCCAAGGCCTCAGTCAATCCCCAAGGGTTAAGGGTCCTTAGCTCCTTAGACTCACCAGGAATCCATCAGTTCCCACCTATTCTCCTGCTGTGCAACCCAAGGGCCTCAGATGCTAAACACCAAGGATCAGTGAAAATACCTGATTCCCAGGTATTCCCAGTTGCGGGCTGTCTCCAAAGCCAGGCCCTCAGCCATGAGAAATTTAGAAGGTAAGACTACCATTAGCTCAGGGGATTGGTAACACAGTAAAAAGACTCAGCTCCATGAATATCTATTTCAGGGGTCAGTTGGTTTTTCCAAGTTAATGAGAACCTCATTCCAAGGCAGCTCCTCACCTCTAGGCAACCCCCAGAGGCCTGCAACCATCACAGGAAGGGTGAGGTGAAACAAGGAGAAGCAAAACACCACCGCCAATGAAAACCTCTGTGCTTTACCAACAGGAGTCCACCTGTGTATTACCTCTTTATGTTAAGAACAGCTTCTTTAGAAACAATTACACATAGAGTTTTTGTACCCGATAGATCACCACCAAAGTGTAATCTAGCTGGTATATACCAGTGTGAAAGTGCCCAGACCTACCTGATTAGTAGACTTCATGAGAATGTAATTGGTGACCTTTCCAAAGGGCAGCCCCAAGTTAATGACATCATTCTCAGTGCAGCTTCCTTCGGGAAGGTTGCAGATATGCACTACGCGGCCAGCACCTGTTTTCCGCTGTACAAACTAAGAGAAACAAAGAGCAGTGGCTGGTCTTCAAAAGACATGTCCCTCTTGCCCTCTATGCCTGTTGTTCCCAATGGCTACCTTCCTCCCGGACGATGATTGCGAAACGGTAATTTACAAAATTAATGCAGAAAAGAACTCATTCACACATAGAAACCATCAATTTTATGTCATCTTTTTACACAAAAGATTCACAACATTTTTAATGAACAGTAACATCCAGGGCTTTGAGGAAACAGGCATATGTTGCTGGTGGGAGATTATCTACAATCTTTTGCGAATATACGTGAGCGATAGCTCGTAAAACTTAACATATACATAGCCCGTGATCCTGCCATCTCACTTTTGGAAATTCATCCTACAGGATAAATGCATCAGTATGTAAATACTTAGGTACATGGATAATTTGTTGCGGTAACTTATAAGGCGACATACAAATTTGGAAACAGCTTGCATGTTCAAAATGAGGGAATGGGTGAGTCAGTGGTGGTTCAGGCGTACACCAGAAAACTGCATAATCATTAAAAGGAGGAGGCAAATAAGCTGACAAGAAACAACGTTTAAGATGATTTAAGTAAAAAAACCAGATTGCCGCGCAACATGCTATTTTTGTAAAACAATAAAACAAACAAAAAAAATCAAAAATATTTGAGAAATAGATAGATGAAGCAAGTAGTGTAAAGTTTTGAAAATTACTGAAATTGGGCAGTGGGGATACGGGGTGACTATACTAGTGTTGACTCTTCTGTTTCAAATTTTCCCCAATGACAAAAATGTTAAAGGATATAGGCAGAAGCAAAAGGGATGGGAGGCTGTGCGTCGACTTGTCAATACTGGTTATCTTCGAAGGGCAGAATGGGAAGGGAGGAGGGGAAGAGATGTTTAACCCTTTTCTTTTATACCTCATGTTGTCTGACTTATACTTTTTAAAGATTCCAATGGAAAAAAAAAAGACCACAGAAAAGATTTGTGGGACCCCAATCCACAGACATAGAAATTCACAGCAACAGCGGTTTAGGGAAGTGGCTTTCCAAACTTCGTTGGCCTCTGGAATTCTTTCTTTAAACAAAGGCTTGCTGACCAGTCCAATGTATGTGACACATACGAGGAGCTGCTTTAAGCAGACTTTGGGGTCCAGCACCTTGTTGCCACACTCCAGCAGGTGGTCCCAAAGGCACCTCTCAGGCACACTGTTTGGACCAAGGCCTAGGCCTAGGCCTAATCAAAGCTCCTGGATGAAGGAAGGGTGACTATTTGGTCTGTGCAAAGCTTAACCAGCCTGAGCCTCCAGAAGGTTCAAGAATTAGTAACCATAAGCCAATCCAACATGGATGAGAAGGATGCAATATTTCCAAATGCAAATCACATTCTAATAGCACAGTTTATATTTGCATAAGCACCATTTGCTATGATAAAGTTGAACTTTAACATCTAATTACATCAACACAGGGCTGGCTAGTTAAGGTAACATAGTGGGAAAGTCTGAGGTCCCATCCCTAACGAGGGCTAATACTAGGGTAATTTTACCATGAAGAGCCCTTACTTGTCCCATCTGGGCTGAGAACAATTAGAGTCTACAATAACTTCCTTTTATGGTTCAGCCCTGAAGTGGAGAAACCCAACTGCCACTTTCAGATCTCCCCATCTGTGATGTCCAGAGGTCAGACGCTTTCCCAAAGGGGAACAGGACTTAGTAGCCCAGGTGGCATCCAGGACTCTCCAGGGATGGCAGGAGCAGGGCAGTTAAGAGGCAGGATCAGTGCCTCCCATTAGGGTGAGTGGTCCACATAACCAGCTGAGCTCTCAGGCAAGGCAAAGTGGCTGGTCCTCTGAGTTGATCAATAGGGGGGTGGAGGCTGGGTGCTCTGACCCACCACCTCCTAGCGGGGCACGTTCCTGCCCCATGTGACTTTGCTGTGGTTGGCCTAGGCTAATGTGTGCTTGGACAGCAGAGCAGACACACAGGGCGGTTCGAGGCCTGATCCCCTCTCCAGTTGCCTAGTGATCAGGCATGAGGGCCAGCGCCTCTCTCATTGTCTCCTCCAGACTGAAAAAGCAACTGGAGAGAGGCTTTCTATGCAAGCATGAGTGCAGCAAAAGCTGCTATGGGGTGGTGACGCAGGCCTCGGGAGAATAAACACCCTCACAGCTGCCAGTCACCAAAGAAGGAGACCAGTTCGTGCTGCAGACCTTGTTAGAGAGGCCCTCAAACGAATGTGTCTCAATTAAGGTTTTCATTCAAGTTGAAAAAATGCTTTCTATGAGCCCTGTTCTCCCCCAAGATTTTAAGTCAGAAATAGAAGTTGGATTTTATTGAGTCCTTTGTTGTCCTTTAAGATAATCATGAAATCTTTAGTATTCTTCCAGTATTCACCCAACTGGTGGACTGCAAACGCCTCTAGGTATGCCCAGGTGTTGACCCCTCAGGGCGCCGGCCAAGTACCTCCAGGGACAGTGAGCAGCTTCTTCAGTTTAACCGGTTTACTTTAGTTCATCACTTTAAAGTAAGCCATGAAATGAAAATCTTGAGGATCTCTTGTGTGAAGGACTTTCTTTGCATTGTGTCTGGCTTCAGGGCATGTGAGAAACCCCATCCAGTTAGGAAAAGAAATTTTTTATGTGTTACAGGCAGACCTTGATTCATTGTGCTCTGCAGACACTGCCTTTGTTTCATAAACTGAAGGCAAGACCCTCCACCAGCAAAAAGGTTATGACTCTCTGAAGGACCACATAATAGTTAGCATTTTTTAGCAAGAAAGTATTTTTAAATTAAGATAGGTACATGGTGAGACATTTTAGACAAAACGCTACTGCACACTTCATAGACTACAGGATAAACATATGGACTGGGAAACAAAAAATTCGGTGACTCTCTTTATTGCGGTGGTCTGGAACTGAGCCTGCAACACTTCCAAGGTAGGCCTGTATATTCTTTTGCAAAGATTTGATTTAGGAGAGTTCAGTCTGCATTCTTTTTTTTGTCATCGATCTAAAATATCTTTTTGTTTTAAACTTGATTTGGGTCAAATTTATATTTGATTTGTAAAAGCTGTAGAAATATATATATATATTTTATATATTACATATATAAAATATTGATTTAGTCTGCAAGAATCAAGAATAGTTCAATCTATTCTTGAACACTTTATACAAACATGGCTATTATTTGCCGTATGCCCTACGGCAGATCTGAATGATGCATGAGAAAGTTAGGCGGGGAGGAAAACAGGCAGGTACGTGAAAGGAAGACCGCCATCTTTAGGGGGTGCATCTGGTGTACAGTTTGTTCACTGGGGGCACAGACAATCCCGAGTGCCTTTGGGCAGGCAGCATGATGCTGCAGGCTAATCCCCAGCCTGGGTTCTCTAATAAGTCCTTCTGGGTCTTTAGGTAATAATATCTCAAGGGAGAATCATTATTTTTGCCATTTACGAAATCTGAGTTGAGGCCATACTTTGAGTTTTCTGACTTCAGTACAGTAACCCTGGCTAGCTAGCTCTTAGGCTATTTAGAGAGTATGATTGGTATGTCTGTGTTTTTGATGAATAAAAATGGATAACTAGTTAATTACTCACTAATATAAGTACTTTGGCAGAGACGGCGCTTTTCCAGACAGGAAATGAGGGACAGTGGCTGCCAGAGGTTGGAGTAAATGATGAAAAGGGGTTTTGGCTGGGAAGAGCTTGGCCTTGGTGATGTAATGGAACGAATGTAATCCTGGACGACAGAGGACTTGGATTCAAGTCCCAGCTTGGCCCCTGATTAGGTACATGACAGGGCAAACTCACTTTCCCTTCTGGACCTTCGTTTCCCAGTGTCTGGAATGAGGGAGGCAGCCTAAGTCCTTTCCAGATGTAAAATGCCCATGCTTATGGGGCTCAAAGTTCTAAAATTCCACTCCTCCCAGAAGCCTTGCCAAGCTAAATGCTAAGATCCAGGATAATGATAACTTTCCCCAACTGTGCTGAGCATAAACAGGAAACCTGTGTCTTTCCCACTCTCTGTGCCAGTGAATGGGATGTCTGTCCTCCCTCCGTACGTGATTGTCTATTTCAGCATAAATCCATTCACAAGCACGTTCTGCAGACATGCCTGTATGTACTGGTGGTGGCCTCATCTCTCTAGGGCTGAAGGGAAGCCCCACACAGTGAGCACTTGCTGATGAACTCTGCCATTCCCTGCATGACTCTGTGTCCTCGGCGCCTGGAGCTGCTGAAACGATACACTGAGATGAACTAAGGACACATGGGCCTGGTACCTCTTCAAGGACAGACAGACACCAAGTGTGTGCCTGACAGTCTCCAGGCACCAGTGCCAGGGCAAGAGAAGTGTCAGAGAGACCTGGATCTGAATCTGCTCCCCAGCGTCTAACCTTGGGCAAATTACTGAATTTCTCCGTGCCTGAGTTTTCTTGTCTATAAAACAGGGAGAATAAAAATTGATTCCACATGACTGTTTAGATGACAAAAGTGCCAAAATGTATATAAAGTGCCTTGGTGTGATGCCTGGCATCCAGCAGGCTCCTGTAAATAAATATTGGTCTCCTTTTCTCCAACATTTAAAGGATATGCTGTGGTGATTCTAGACTTGGGGGGAAATGTAACTGTACTGTGATTACGTGAGAGAAAAATCTGTGTTCTTGGGAAATTCCTACTGACATAGGGAGGGGTGAAGAGATATAGCTCCAACAGTTCAAGAAAAAACAGGCATAGGTGATTACATAGGTGGATGAAAGATCTGCAGAGAGATGGATGGACAGACAGATGGATGAATGGATTAATAGATAGAGAGAGATGGACAGATGGCTGAATGGATGGGTGGACAGACAGACAGAGATGAATAGACAGACTGATGATAGAGGCACACACACAGAGACAGGAAGATACAGAGAGAATTATGGAAAAGCCAAATGTAAACGAGTAGTCAATCTGGGTAAAAGGTATATGGATGGTCCTTAAACCTTTCTTACAACTTTCCTGTAATTCTAAATGACATTAAAA